TTTGTTCTAATGTGAAATGCTACAGAACATTGTTACGTCATGCAATTTCTTTGTTCTAATGTGAAATGCTACAGAACATTGTTACGTTATGCAATTTCTTTGTTCTAATGTGAAATGCTACAGAACATTGTTACGTCATGCAATTTCTTTGTTCTAATGTGAAATGCTACAGAACATTGTTACGTCATGCAATTTCTTTGTTCTAATGTGAAATGCTACAGAACATTGTTACGTCATGCAATTTCTTTGTTCTAACGTGAAATGCTACAGAACATTGTTACGTCATGCAATTTCTTTGTTCTAATGTGAAATGCTACAGAACATTGTTACGTTATGCAATTTCTTTGTTCTAACGTGAAATGCTACAGAACATTGTTACGCGTTGCTCACTCACATTCTTGTTTGCAATTATATAAACAATAGCATGCAACTTACAAAAACACCAGAATTCAACTCAGAGAAACACGAGTATGAAACAAAGAAACATCAGTATGAAATTTTCAGAAACACAAGTATGAAACTAAGTGAATTATCAACATGAAACGTCAGTATGAACTTTTTAGAAACACAAGTATGAAACTAAGTGAATTATCAACATGAAACTTAAAGAAACGTCAGTATGAAATTTTCAGAAACACAAGTATGAAACTAAGTGAATTATCAACATGAAACGTCAGTATGAAATTTACAGAAACGTAAGTATGAAACTTACAAAAACACAAGTACGAAACTAAAGAATTATCAATATAAAGCTTAAAGAAACATCAGTATAAAACTCACAGAAATTCCTGTACGAATCATATAAACACCAATATAAATGGTATTAAGAGGTGTAGATGCACTGCTTAATCTTTTCTGCAGTAAATGTATAACGTTGGTGTTTATCTATCTACTCAAGCAATAGTGGTTTGTATGATTAATGGAGTAATTTAATAAGCCTTTAAATATCAACGTAGAGAAAACGATTTAATGTGTAACACTTTATGTTCCTCAGATTTGTGTATTAGCTTTAAAATGACGTATAAGTTGTCTCGTGTGTTATCAGCGTTTTAACAGACTTTACTTATCAAATCTTCTTTCATTCATTCACTCTCTCTTTCTGTTTTTTTTTGGGGGGGGGGGAGAGGGATCAAAGAATGTATTAACATAAGACGCATTACATGTTGAAGAGAGGCTCGTGCGGAAGGCGTACTTTTCTGTGATCCTTTCATTACATACGTTACGTGTTATTTAGCGAGTCTCGCGAAATTCTGCGTTAATAAATTCTCACAACTCTCTTCTTTACAGTGGAAAAAATGTAGGAGTTGATTACTTCGCGCGCCAACTGTTTGCACGCTAGCGCCGCTCACCGTTAGGGGGCGGATTAACACGACGAATTCTTAACCTACCGTATCAAACTCCGGTGTCGGCGGTTTGGAATTGCGGTCCATTTCTTACGAGAGTTTTCTAAATATATACATTTCCCTCGGGTAACGCTTGTTATTCATTATTAAAACCTATTCTAAACGATTTCCATTCAAGTAATAAAAGTAGAGAAAACGAGGCGGATAGTTTCAAAATGCGGAGTCAAATGTTTCAAACAAACTCTGTTCATTATACACACTTGTTTTTTTTTTCTTTCGATTTTTCTGGCTTATCGAGATAAGTTTTCATCTTAGTTTGGCTTGGTTATTTCCGAGCAAAGCCACATTGGATTACCTGCCGTGTCCACCGCGGGGATCGAACCCCCGATTCTAGCGTTGTAAATCCGTAGACTTACCGCTGTCCCACCGGGGGGAGGGTGGGGAGATTTGCTTCTTAACTCTGGAATAAGTATCGGTGGGTTTCACATATTATATCTTATTTTCTGTTTATTACAACACTTGTAAAACATTAATTTGTTTGTTTGTTTAAAGTTGAGCACAAAGCTACACAATGGGCTATCTGTCCTCTGCCCACCACGGGTATCGAAACCCGGATTCTAGCGTTGTAAGTCCGCAGACATAGCGCTGTGCCACTGGGGGGGGGAGGCGTAAAGCATTGATACGAAAGGGGTTAAGATACTTAATTTTCTACGTAAAATAGACAGAGAGCCCCAGCAGTAATTACTTAGATTAATTTCAACATTGACGGTATTTTTTATTTACTTTTCATGTGACTCGTGTTTTAATAGGGGGGCTCTGTAATTAACAAAGTCATGGACCCATAAGCACTTTGATGCATAAACACGAAAATGAGTTGGTAATTTGAAGGTTCAGGGTTTACTCTCGAATACATTCTAAGTTTTGGTGCTGTGTTGAGTAACAATACGTCTACTATCATTGACAATACCTTTGAATTTGTCTAATAAAATACCCTCTAATTCATTTTAAGCTGCAGTTCACCACATGAGCGACAACAATATATTGTGTATCATTCACCGCTAACAATACCTTTGAATTTATCTAATAAAATACCCTCTAATTCATTTTAAGCTGCAGTTCACCACATGAGCGACAACAATATATTGTGTATCATTCACCGCTAACAATACCTTTGAATTTCTACAACTGGTTAAAATCGGCGAAGTATAAATATATTCGTAGCCAATTCAAAGGTATTGTTAGCGGTGAATGACACACAATATATTGTTATCGCTCATGTGGTGAACTGCAGCTTAAAATGAATTAGAGGGTATTTTATTAGACGGTTTTTTATGTATTTTTCTCATCAGGGTGAGATTGAGAATGAAATTGTGAGGGGGCATGCCCCCCATGTAAATTACGCTAATTAGTACGGAACCTTTTAGTGACACTTTCCACAACAAACACAAGTTGTGTATGTATCCATATTAATGTACATAGATGTAGGTTGTTTAAATATATACACAACGTATTTTTACTTTGTGCAGGGGGTCGTTATAAACCCCTAAAACATAATTTTGTTTTGGTATGTCCTGGAAGTTTCGATTCAGTAATCTTTTAATATTTACCGCAACGCCTCTCGTTTCTCTTCCTCTTTCGCCCCCACTACCCCCAGTGGCACAGCGGTGTGTCTGCGGACTTACAACGCTAGAAACCGGGTTTCGATCCCCGTGGTGGGCAGAGCACAGATAGCCCATTGCGGAGCTTTGTGCTTAATTACAAACAAAACTTAGCTCCCTCTTTCAACTTGAAAATATGAACCCCTTTGTTTTGCTAGTACTGATAAGTTTGAATTATTACTGGTAAATCCTGATAATAATTACATAACAATGTTTGAAGCCAAACCTATAAAGCAGAATCTATAATTTATTGACATAATTTTTTATCACATTTTTTTGTTCGTATGGAGAAGATGTATACACTTTTAGTATCCAAAAATACTAGTTACGGTCAACAAACCATCCTAGTTCAAATGTTGACTGACTTGTGTGTGTGCCCAACGACATGCATCAGACCTAACCCATAATTTTTCCACGCTATATCTCTGCTGTCATTTTCTATAAAGGTTTACAGTTTCTAGCGTATCTTACTTTGTAACCCCTTCGACCTCATTTCCTTCTCAAAACACACAGTAGGGGGTAACAATTATCTAATTCATATCTTTCTCACCTACTAGTTAGTGCTCGGGCTACGTATTTAGAAAACGGCATCGCTAACTAAAGGTTCATATATTGTAGAACTTAATAAGATGCAGTCTGCCTTGTTGTTATGAGCCCAATGACACGATACAGTGACTTTAAGCAATTGTTGATTTTATGTACAGTCTACAAGTATGTTCCCCCCTTCTTAAAAACAATTTTAACCGCCTTTATAATGACACCTGTTGGTTCGTAACAAAATATTAGTTTTATCGCCTTAACGAGCACAAAGATGTTTTGTATTTTTTAAACTACCTTTAACTATTTCTTGGACGAATATTTTTAACGATCATAATATATAATTTTTTTTTCTTCCTCTTTGCCCGTTAAATACAAAATGTTCTCAATTCACGTGTGGTTAAAGAGGTTCGTTACGTAACATCCACGTTAAAGAAAAACGGATATTACGTAAAATCTATTTTCAAACAACACAGTACAAAAAAAAACAGTAATTTTATACTTACATCTGCATATTCGGCACACGATTCCACTGACATCACAAACTTTACTACGTCATCAACAGTCCACTGCGCAATCTCACTAGCATCTGATATGTTTAAACAAGACTGGTCAGTACAAAAGGAAGGGCAACGACCTCTGTCGGAAGATTTAGGCGATGCCTGAGCGGAAGAACTTTCAGACCTAAGGAGCCTTCCTTCCAACAAGTTCGTCCAGCTTGAAGTCTTGCGGAAGCTGTCCTTCGATCTAGTATCATTGTGAGTATTACTTAGTGCATCTGTGTCCGTTTTTATGGACCCAATGATGTCCGTGTCCGTTTTTATGGACCCAATGATGTCACGAATATCTCGTGAAATAGGTAAATATAAACAACGATGCGGAGACGCGTCTGGAGTACCCAGACGAGGGCGCTTTGTAGCCCCCATTGTTAGATCCAGAGGATCTGATTCGAACGGTCTCTTGTTTGCCCCTCGAAGGTAGTTTTCCAACTGTGAAGCACTCTTCGCACTCGCAGTTCGAACTAAGTTTAGAAGAGTTTGGGATGATGAAAAATCCCCGAAACTGAATGGAACTGAGCGACTCTCTCCAAGGATCGGAGACGATTTGAGATGATTTTCTAATTTTCGACTGCTGTTTTCCGGCGGTTCCGAATTCCTCCCCAAAAGTGGAGGAGTTCCGCCTTTGTACGACAGGTGGCCTTCGAAGGGTCGAGCGATTCCATTCGGTTGAACAAAGCTAAAACTAGAAAAAAAAAAAAAAGAATTCACGTGTATAAGTTCTGAACACAGAAAATATATATACCAGATAAAACATTTAAATTATCGGTATGTTAAACAATGCGGTTGAGATTTAATATCCATAGTCGGCGGGAACTAGGGGGGGGGCACTATTTTGACTCTGTGGTAAAGTACCCCTTTGAATGAGGAATAGAGACTTGTGTATAGCTATCGGAAAGTCACTGTGTCAAATTTGAATTCAGTCGTCATGATTAAAATAGCAAATAAGATGCATACAATAGTCTGTGCCCCCCCTCCCCCCCAAAAAAAACAACAACAACAAAAATTCAAAATTTTTCCGTCGCCTATGTTACTATGGATTTCTAATAACACATTACTGCGAAATTCCAAAACAAAAAACAAAAAAAACAGAAAAGTAATACTCTTCTTAATCTTTGATAGATTGTGTAGGCAGATTATTCACAGTGAATCTAAGTTTCAAATGGACAGCAACTGCCTGTTGTAGAATCCTACAAATGTAGAGGACGACGTTTCGACATTTGTAGGTTTCTACAATAGGCAGTTGCTGTCCATTTGAAACTTAGATTCAACACTCTTCTTATTGAACTATCAATTTAAGTTAAGAAAGTATAAAGAAATAGTTCCTAACAACCACTAAAGATCTTTTTAAGCACAATTTGATAAACCATTTTGTCGCAAGTTCTGTTCTGTTCGTAGTTTTCTTTCAATGGAAAAATATATATACTTGGCACTGGGTAAAACATGGAAATATTGGGTGTGTCATATTTCCACAGTTGAACGTTTCTTCACTGTGACTGGCGCGAAGGATGAAAAAAAAAAACGTCTTCGTACTAAAGAGAAAGGTAAACCCACCTGTTGAGTTTTGTTCCAGTTACAAGCCTAATATTTCAATGATTAAGACTAAACCAGACTAAAGCATTTTGTCTCCTTTTGGGGACTTGTAAGTGCATAATATCTGTACGTTTAAAACACACATCGAATCTTTGCCCCCAGTTGCACAGCGGCCTTTCTGCGGGCTCACAACGGTAAAAACCAGGTTTCGATATCCGTGGTTGGCAGAGCACAGGTGGCCCATTCTACAGCTCCGTACTTAATTACAAAGAAATAAAATCTAATCTATATTTTTTTACACTAACTAACTAACTTACCTGAATGCTTGCTACATGCAGCAAAGAAGCGGGAACAAAATTCACTGTGGTATACAATCTAATATAGCAGAAGGGTTTGACCCCCAAACACTCAGTAGGGATAAACTGTTAGATCGTTTTAATACTTTTATACTGAAGTACGATATTGAAAGTTAGCGAATTAAAAATAAAGGAAAACAAACCACAAGACCGACGAGCGACTTACTGAGGCTGTAAAATCATCTTAAGGTACAAAAATCTAGAATAAATAGCAAAAAGAAAAAAAAACAACAACGTAGTATTTATAACATATGTACATAACCACAACACATACATACACACATATATATATCACTACTATGTACATAACCACAACACATACATACACATATATATATCAATACTATGTACATAACCAAACACATACATACACATATATATATCACTACTATGTACATAACCAAAACACATACATACACATATATATATCAATACTATGTACATAACCAAAACACATACATACATACACATATATATATCAATACTATGTACATAACCAAAACACATACATACACATATATATATATGAATCAGAAGCCTACAGAGAATCTGCTAGACAGATCATGGGAAGGTTTTTATTATAGCGCTCCAGTAGGTTTAAACAGACGATGTTTTCAAAGTCCTCAATAACAAATATTTCATGACGTAAACATGGAGGTTCAAAGTGTTTCGTTCTATAGATCGGGTTACAGAGCGGTCAGTCCTACTTCTGCCCATCATTTTACGTCATTCTGGCATGTCACAGGTAAGGGGTGCCCGTTCATGACAAGCACACCTATCTCCCAATTCTGAACTAGTTTCTTCGCCCACGTATACCTCCTTCATAGTGACCAGAGGGTACGTAGTTTAATTAAGGAGTTAGCCGTGGCAGGCAGACAGACGGGGAGGGTGGTGAACGGTATCAGATGTAGCACGCGGCTCATTCATTCCCCACCTAAAAGAAGTCCGCGCCCAAGCAAAGCGTGGATCTGAAGACCAAGAATACATTGACCCACAATATCCGCATGCCTAACCGCTCGCGACCTGCGTATCTATAGCATGTTCAAGTCAGTCCCAACTATTGAGCTTTCTTTGCATCTGTACACCAGATGTGTGCTCTAATAAAGTCTGTTACAGCAGCACTGTCTGACCAGACTACTCGGTCGTACTATGTTGCAAGTTAACGAGTACAAGCTGGAGTGCGATAAGATACCAGCATGCACCCTTTAGAACAATGGGTTAAACGTTTTATCTTAACCTCCACGTCCGTCATTTCTGTAACGTTAAGTTCCTTCTTCGTAATAGAGTTTTGATAAGAATCAGGCCGCAAGAAAGGCATTAGTGACGTTCAACTACCTTTACATTCACAGTGTGTTTGTGTCAATAGCCAAGACTTCATATTCGGATTGTGACTTCTGTCATCTGTATCTAAACGTACACTATTTACAGGTCGAGAAATTAATTAATGAAACCAAAGAGAAACAGCCCCTAACGACGAGTAATGATGCTTTTTAAAGCAACCAAACTATTCAGTTGTTATATTAACTACGCATGCGTATGGTTGAATGGTTGTTTTGTAGTTTACCATAAAGTTACACAATGGACTATCCGTGATGTATCCACCACGTGTATCGGAACCCGTTTTTTTTTATCGCTATAAACCTCCAGATTTACCGCTGTGCCACTGCGGGGAGGGGGGCTTTTCTTGAATACAAATAAATAATTAATCTAATCTTCGCTTGGGGAGCAATATGGTATAGCATTCGGTGTGATTGTTCTACTGTAAAAGACAATTTCACACTGTGAAAAGAGAAATCTTTTACAAAATATTTATCGAGGTATTTCGTCCCTATGTAATAGGATTATGTTTGGACAGCTTGTACAATGTTAATAAATTGGATTTTTTTAACCTTAATGAAATCTCGTGTACATGTGGGCTTAAAAGCCAGAACAGGAACCTTTGGAGTTCAGGTATAGTTTCCCTAGTTTTGAAATACTGACCAGAGAGATGGTAGCCAGTCAACCAGCAGCATGCGCTGCTATACGGGACTTATCGGGTTCTTTGAACCAAATAATGGGATTGACTACAATTTTTATAACAGCTTAAAGTGCGAAGAGTGTTTAGCAGCATCACGAACCTTGGACCTTTTGTCCGCAGTCCGACACATTAATTACTACGTCATTAGTTGCATGCGGAAGTACATACAAATTCTCAGTTTTGCACTTTGTTTTTTGCAGTTTCTATGGGCTTTTTGGTTTTTCAATTACATATATGGGAAGCAACTTTTTATGTCCTAAAATAACCTTACAACGCTAGAAACCGGGTTTTGATACCCGTGGTGGCCAGAGCACATTGTGTAGCTATATAACTTTAAACCATCAAACAAACAAACTTAAGATAACTTTTCATCAATCATGAATTTACATAACAGCTAGTATAGAAATAGTATACCAAACATTACATAGTAAACGGTTCATCGAGGACAAGGTCGTTTTAAGACGTAACTTTACTTCTTTGATTAACGATGGAGGCAGGCAACATTTAATCGGCTTTTTTACTGAGTACATTGGCCGAATTTAGGCTAACAACTTTGGAAAGTTAAAGTTACGTCCAAAACTGCACAAAGGAGCAGGTGATGAAACCCCGGTTTCAATGGTATAAGCAAATGAGAATGGTGACAAATTTGTCTGGATCTTGTTTTTTTAGCGCAAGGCTACACAATGGGCACCCTGCACTCTATTCTCCGCGGGAAATCGAACCCCAGATTTTAACTTTGTAGGTCTATAAACTTACCTCAGATGCATCGGGGGGGGGGACTCTTTGTCTGGAAAAGCACACCTTAATACAAACATTTTCATTTCCCAATTAAAAATAAATAAATCGGGAATAGGTCGGGAGAGGAGCATAGTAATGTGTTCTTTAGATATCTATGAACTGTTTATATTACAAAATTATATTCTGAGCTAATAAAACCATAATTTTTCCTTGCAAGACTCGAGTTGGTCTGATTAACAACATGTACAGTGTCTTTAAAGACATTGACCCCCTTTTCTGGTGTCTCATTCAAATCCCAGCCGCCATTTTAGCCTCAGGAACGTTCGATACCCCTCTCTTTTATCCCCATATCGCTCTTACACACTTTTGAAACCTACTTTTGTCTTGTGGTAAAAGTGTCTGAAATTACTAGCGGGTTAATCCTTTAATTCGGTTTCTAAAGTTCTCGTTAGGCGTGCGAGAGATATTGGGTTCGATCTCAAGCCAAGGAGTTCCAAAGTGTAACGAGCTATTGATAAACGACTCTTTTTAAATCGGTACCTTGTGAGATAACAAATTCTTTCTTTTTTTTATTATGATCATGATTGTATTTATCATTTATTTACTATTTCTTTCTATCGTTTTAGTTTAGTTGCATTAAAACGCTAACTCACCGTCTACATAATCATTTTTATTTTGAGTAAATATATATATGTGTGTGTGTATATGATGAAACTAACACCAGATTCCCTAGCGGTGACGTATAGATACTACTAATATAGCAGAAAAGTATGTAAATTTATGATCACATGAGGTTGTACTCTCGTGCCAGAAGCTTCATTGAGAGATATAGTTATTGAAGGGTGTAGTCATTGCTGTTTGTTAATCGATATTGAAAGGTATTGTTTGAATATTGTAATTGCTGTATTTTTTTTTAATTGGGTTTTTTTTCTTTCTGGTTCTTTTTCTTGGTTCCATTATTATTGATTTATTAATATTTATGATAAATGATTTATTAATATTGATGTGAAGTCCTGGCTAGGCATTTGTTTATTAACTGTG